TATTCAATTTGCATTATTTTAAATTCAAAATTTTGATACTTGTTTTAAAATATTCTGATTTTTAACCAAATTTATTACTTTATTTATAAATTTTAAATATTAAAAATATATATATTAAATAGTTAACTAATAATTAAATTTTATGCTATTTGTAAAACAACTCTTCTAAACATATTGTTTCACTTTACATATAGATTGATAATGAAGAATATGGAGAAGCATTAGCTCTAGCTAAGGCTTACAATCTAGACTGTGATTTAGTATATCAACGACAATGGCGAAAAACTCCTGTGTCTGTAGCTTCTATTCAGGATTATTTAGTAAGTAGTTTAATTTTTATTATAAGTTAGCTAATTTATTTGGTTTATCAGTGTTTTATTTACATTAAAATCTTTTCTTAACAGAGTAAAATCACTAAGAGATCATGGGTTCTTCATGAATGCTTAGAAAGAGTTCCTGAAAATATTGATGCTGCTAAAGAATTACTACTTTATGGTCTTAGAGGAACAGATTTAGAAACACTTATAGCCATTGGACAAGGAAAGGATCATGGCAGGTAAGTTTTCATTTTAACAAATTTTAGTTTAAGTGCAAAAACAAAAGGAATTAGAGTTATAAATAACATTTGATTTTTATCTAAATGTATTTCATTTAATATGTTAGCAGATTTTAAAATAACTGTATAAACCTAACTTTGATATAAAAAGTTTGAATAGAAAAATTGAAAGTCTGAATGCTAAAAGTGTCCTAACCTTGTTTTTTTTTAAAGTTGAAATTACTGTACTGTAAAGATAGTGTGTGCTATTTTTTTCTTATTTTGCTCTTATACTCAGTTTCCATCAGTACTTAACCAGAATCCTAATAATCTTTCTTGCAATAAACATTCTGTTTATAAATAGGATGAAAATGCTCAAATTAAGTAAATATTGTCCTTGGCACATCATTATTATGGATTAAGATCACTGTTGCATAGAATAACAACATAAGATTACTCTGGCCTCGGAACGGATAACTATTCTCACTACTTTTCAATTAATCATTTTTTCTCAACTATTTCAGCAATATATCACTATTTCTCATTTTTTCTGCTGTTATGGGCAACAAGATTTTTATGGTGCCAAGTTGTCACATTAATGTTTAACATAATTAATGTTTAAATACTTTATCTTGTTGCATGTTGAAAAATTCATGTTATTTGATATTGTATAACTAACACTTTTGAGACTTCAAAAGTGTTAGTTATGCAATATCATAAATTTGAGAGTGCACAGTCTAACGTTGACAAAAATTTTTTTTGAAGTACATTATTTTAATTCCTTTCAAGCCTCTCACAATTAACTTTTACACCTTCAATTTGAGGTCAGGTGTTAATAAATCTGTCTAAAAATGAAAACCAAGTAAAAAATGATAAATAAACATAATTTAAAATGACACTATTTATCATTTTTCAATTTTTGTTTTAATAATTTTGATAGTGATTACAAAATTAACAAAATTACCGATTAAATTATTTTCAAGTTTGTTAATATTTTATAAAATTTGGTAAGTATTACCGATTAAATTATTTTCAAGTTTGTTAATATTTTATAAAATTTGGTAAGTTTATTAAGAGACAATTTAATAAATTTATAGCTTTGTACAGGATTTATTGATGGATAGTAAATAAAAAAATTGTTTTACTTTTCCAGTTTGTTATGTATATAACACAGGAAAATATTGGAATCGTGTCAAATTTGATCCTCTGAGTTTTTTGCAAATCTATGTTTTGAGACCTCCTGAATCTAAAAATCTAAAAAAAAAAAAAAAATTGTGTATGTTGGTGTCTATTTCATTTAATATCCCAGAATAGGATAGTGATTAAGAAACGAAATTTAGTGTGGTAGCTTGGTTTTTAAAGGCATTGATACTATTAAATTTTGGCAGTTATAAATTGAGGAGTGGGAAGATAGAAAGGGATTATGAGTAGAGTTGGACTTTATGAAGATTTTAATTGTTATTAACATTTATAATTTTATATAAAACTCATCTTTATGCTCAAAATTAAACTATTTGCAGTTTTGTAATTATTAATAATATAAAAGTTGTTTTCTAATAAAATCTCGTAATGGATGGCGCCGCAAACTAATTTTAAATTTGTTCTATTATGTTGTCGTGATTTTGCTGAGAAAGTTAAGAAAGTTATTCATTTCTGGATTTTTTATTTAATGAAATGTCTTGTTTTAAGTATTAATAATTCTGCAAATCTGAAAATTTTTTTATAATTAATAATTTTAATTTGCAAAATTTAAGATGATAATTCATTTGAAAGAATGGTAAATATACAGGCAATTTTTCTCTCAATTTTTTTGTAATAGAGATATGCCATATATCTTCTAATAGATGCCTCCTGCATTTAATTGCCAAAGTGGCTGACTGACATGGTGCTTATTAGCCTATGGTTATGTTTTACAAAAAACAAACTGAGTAAAGAAGAGATCAAAAGATACAGATATAACAAAGGATAATTAATGACCTCTTTTGCTAATTTTCATCAACTAACTGACTGGATACCATGCACTCAAAAATAAAACTGGAATTTCCCAAGTTCCGGTTTTGGTTTCACCAGAGATTGGCATCTATTTAGGATGCAACAATAACAGTTGCTTTTTTAGTTATTTTAATAACCACTGAAAAGGGATTTTGAACAAATAAAATAAATTTGTTATGTCCTTCAAATCCAATATTAACTTGAGGTCAGGAGTCACTTAGAAGACAATTTTAATTCACAGATCTAAAATTGTCATCTTAGTGATTCTTGATCTTGGTGAGTGTTGGATTTGAAGACATAACAAATTTGTTTTTATTTGTGGAGGTGCCATGCAAAAGCAAACAAGTCCACAAAAAATGAAAGTTGAGTTTATAATTGATTTTTTTTTCATCCTCATTCCTATCTACTGTTAAAGTTGGTTTCATTCAAAAAGATATGCATCCAACACTTTTTAAGCTTTGAAAAATCAACATTCTGTGCAAAAAAGAACATCACTTCACATGTGTTCCAAGCAGACCAAAACATATCCATTGCAATCTGTCTCAGCCAATGAAGAGCTATGATTGAGTCATGTGACTTCCAGAATGCAACAGGTGTTTTGTTTTGTTGTGTCATTTTGTTGTTAAAATGTTGTTTATTAGTAGGGGAGGACGGGGCAACTTCGGCACGATAAGAATAATTTAAATTTAGTATAACAAATATTGCTGTAAACTGAAAGAAAAGCTTTGTTTATTGTCTACTAGAATGTTACTTTACTATAGAACTGGTTAAAATCAGTTTGGAAATAAAAATAATCATAAGAATAATGACTTTATAAAAAGATAGCAGTTGCTGAGTTGTTTTTGTTCTAAAGTCAAACTATAAATACAAAATAATTTTGATAAATGAATATCAAATATCTAGAAATGGAAAAAATTAATTATATATTCTGTTGTTTTTAAAATAATCGTAAAAAGTTACAATGAGGCAAGATAGACAGGTATATAAATTTGTGTTATTGACCAATGTATAAATTGAAATTCACTTAATTCGGGTGGGATTGAAATTCACTATTAAATCGAAGAAATGCAAGTTCAAAAATTTATTTAATATTGTAACAACGAAATTCGAGTTAAAAGACATATATAAGTAAAGAAAATGTAAACAAACTTTAATTAAAAAAAAATCAAACAGATAATAATTGAAAACATTCTAATGCAAGTTAAAAGCAATATAAATGAATTAATGAACTCAAACAAACAGCAGAAATTAAATATGCTTAATAGCAAATTGTTTATGCCCTACACATATCGTAAATAAATTGAACCAACTCATTTTCAGTACAGTCCACAAGAGCCCACAGTTCACACTTGCAGCACATAATCCACTTTTCCTGAGTAGTTCCATATTGTTCATTGCAATATATGCAATAAGCATTTTCATCATCATTTAGGACTTTTCTGCTCTTTTCTTTTAGTGAACTTTGAACACAATTTCTCCAAATCCATTGCCCTTCTGCAAGTTCCTGATTTTTTAACTTTAGCCTTGGCTGCTAATGTAGCTTTGTATGGGGATCCAGTTATTTCTTTTGCTTTTGTTTATTGTTTGAAACCAAATCAAACCATAGCAAAACACGATCAGGAACAAGATCAGCAATACTGCTAAAGATGCCCCAATAGTCATGATTTAGAAACATTAAGTAGAACTCTGAGAATAGGGTACCAAGCCATGATCTGACCACGTGACTAAGTTAATGTTTTATCCTTCTAACAGGAAAAATAACTTTTGTTATTATGGAATTATAACAAAACGTCAATTTTATATAAATGAAAGCAAAATATTATAAGAAATTGAATGAAACAGACAACTTATTAGATATTTCAACTATGCTTGTCGGAGAACAACACATACACCACACTTAGCAAGCCGTCATTAAAACTCAACTGTCTAGTCTCTGAAGAGAGTCTCATTTTATTTTGTTTCAAAGAAAATTTAATTGGCAAACTTGCCCCATATGCAGAACTTACCTTGTCCTCCCCTACACATTTTATTATACAGTGTATTTCAGTGTTATAATTGAGTGAAAATGGATAAAGATGGTTTGATAAGTGTAGAAGAAGGCAATGTTGGATCTAGAAAGAAACCTAAAACTGTTGGAGTACGGGTAAAGAAGAAAATACAAAAATACAGTGCTCCTTTAGGATGAGATTTGAGGAGCCAGTCGAGCAACTACCTGTAGGGCACCCTCTGTCAGGTGCCAAGAAAAAAGACATTGAATCACTTTTCAATGATGAAAATTTTTTATGGTATAAACAAGTGTTACGAAACGGAACCAAGCTTGAAGCAGATGATTTGGAAAAAGAAGAAAATAATGGGAACCTGTGTGATTATTTGGGAGAAGACATTTATTATTCATCCCTATTTTGTAAAATGCCATGCTTTTTTGATAAGTCAAAACTAGTAGCCAGTATAACAAAGTGAAAAAGAATATAGTGACCAGGCAAAAGAAAACATAACTTAACATAGTTCATACAAAAAAAAAAAACATATCACCCTGTCCAAGCAAAAAGAAACATGTCCATATTTTAATGTCATATAATTAAATACTAACTATATTCCTATCAAAAAATGCCTTCAAATATTGATGTTAGATACAAAATGAAAAAAAAAATAAATTTTTACAGGTGTGAGGTGTAAAATAAATTCAATAACAATTTTTTGCATTTTTCCAGCAATTGTTTAGAGTGGACTTGTTTGCTTTTGCATTATACCTCCATATTTGTCCAAAACCCCTTTTCAGTGGTTCTCAATATAAGTGATTATATCTGACAAGTATTGTTATTTTTTAGCTTCATATTAAATACTTTTTTTAGATAGAATAATTTATTATCTTTATTATTTATATATTTGATATAACAATTTATTTATTATTTATTTTTTTAGATTCATCTTAAATCAACTGGAATATGATTCAAATGATGAATATGTTACTGATGAAGAGGAAAAAAAAGAAAATTTAAATGAAAAAGAAGCTAATCGTAAAAAGTTACTTGAAAAAGTAAATTTTAGAAGGTTTGTTATTTATGTAAATTTCTAATAATTTAATTTATTAAGAAAGTTGAGTTTTATAACAATTTCTATAATTCAATAATAAATTTTGATTCTTTAAAATAGAAATTTGTTATAATTCAGTTATTTTAAAAACAACAGAATATATAATTAATTTTTTTCCATTTCTAGATATTTGATATTTATTTATTAAAATTATTTTATATTTATAGTTTGACTTTAGAACAAAAACAACTCTGTCAATGTCGACTGAAACTTTTTACATATTTAGATCGATTGTTAACTTATGAGGTATGAGCTTTATTGAAATTCATTAAATTCTGAATTTATTTTGAAAATTTAATATTAAATAATTTTAATAGATTTATATTTATTATTTATTTTTACTAATCTTTTAACTGTAAGTTATATTAAAATATGAATATTTGATTGGAGTATAATAATAGTGTAAATGTTCTTGAAACATAGGACTTGTTAGTTGATATAAAACCTTATATATAATTAAAACATTTTATTTGATTTTATAAAATTAATCTAATTTCATTTCATTTAATAATTATGAATTACCAAAATAAGCAAATGATATAAAAAAAATTATTTTCATAATCACTAGTGTATCAATATTTTATGTTTATAATTTAAACTATTTGTATATATTTGACAAACTTTTACTTCTGAGTTTGATTTTATATAAGGTAAGTAGAAACTTTATTAGCCAGATGTTATTGCAATAGTGCACAATGGAAATTTGTCAAATTATATTCGTGAAAACTTAGAAAATATTTGATATTTGATGCTGATGATCAATTAGCATCACCCAACATCAGTGACAATTTGAATAAGATGATAATTAATTTTTAATCTTAAATTAAATTATGAAAAAGTATAAAAAGAATGTTATACTTTTTCATATTCATATTTTAAGGTTGTACACATATTTTTTATAATATTGATAGATAATAAAAGCTTTTCTGAATATTGAAAATAATATAATAAGCTTATTTCAATTATGTTGCATAGGTTATTCTGGGAGGAATACATACAGCTGCTGAAAATTACAACCATAATTTTTTCAAAAAATTTCGATCTCAAGCAGGATTTCAGGCAGCTCTTTTATTTGCTCAAAATAATGCTTGGGAAGCTGTTTCTGCAATGTTTACTCATCATGGAAAAGAAACATTACCACATCGATTAGCAATTTTATCAAATTTTCCTGAAACTACTTCACCATTTGAATATGCAAGTCTTTTACCAGAAGCAGGGTAATAATGTATCTATGAAATAAAATATAATTATGTATTATTCAACTTTACTTATCATAATAAAATGATAAGATTGTTTCTCTATTTAATAGAAAATATCACAGTTATAAGTTTTATACATACAAAAAATATATAAATAAAAAATATATAAACATAAAAATATTTATTTATATATTTAAATTAACACTCGTTCTATTTTAAAACTTATAAC